TGAATGAGACATACTTTCCCTGCCTTTATGGTGCTTAAAATGTAGCAAAGAATACATATTTTAAACTGGATATTACCAGAAGTAATTATTTTATTGTGTTTATGAGAAGTGATATAAGTATATGATAAATATGTGGCCTGTGTAAAGCTTTTTTCACACAGTATAAATACTCAGCATTTATCCATGTTTTGCATTCATCAATGCAGTACTTCATTTCTTTTAATAGCTGAATAACAATATATTTTATGGATATAGCATATTTTGTTTATCCATTCATCTGTTGATGGACATTTAGGCTGTTTCCATCCATTGGCTATTATGAATAAAGCTACTATGAACATTCCAGTACTAGTTTTTGTTTAAACATCTGTTTTCACTCTTTCGGTATATTTTCAGTTGTTGCTGGGTCATATGCTAATTACATGTTTAACTTCTTGAGGAACTACTGAACTGTTTTTCACAGTGGCTGCACCATTGTACTTTCCCACCAGCATTGTATGCGGGTTCCAATTCTTCACATCCTTGCTAGCACTTAACTTATTTTTTAAAAATGTGGCTATTCTAATGGATGTGAAGTGATATTATAGTTTTGCTTTACATTTCCCTAATTACTAGTGACATTGAACATCTTTTCATATACTTCTTGGCCATTCTCTGCCTTCTTTGGAGAAAAAAACCTTTATATTTTCTGGAAATTGGTTCCCTAACATACCAATGATTTGCAAATATTTTATCCCACTCTGTGAATTGTGTTTTCACTCTCGTCATAGTGTCCATTCATATGCAAAAGTTTTAAATTCATATTTTGTTTAGTTGCTTTTGCTTTTTTAAAAAGCTTTACATGATCATTGATTTTTAAATTCTAGTCCCTCCCTCCCCTTTGTCAACCCATCAACTCATTCTCTATTGTTTATTAGATTCCACATGAGTGAGATCATGTGCTGTTTATCTTTATGACTGTCTTATTTCACTTAACATAATATTTTTTTTTACTTATTTTGTATTTTTAGATTTTTATTGCTGATATGTGCCACATCTTCTTTATCCATTCATCTATTGGTGGAAACCTAGGTTGCTTCCATATCTTGGATATTGTACATAATGCTGCAGTGAACATAGGGGTGCATATATCTAGTGTTTTTGTTTCCTTCAGACAAATACCCAGAAGTGGAATTGCTGGATAATATAGCAGTTCTATTTTTAAGTTTTTGAGGAATTACCATACTATTTTCCATAGTAGCTGCACTAATTTACAATCCCGCCAACAGTGTATGAGGGTTTCCTTCTCTCCTCATCCTTGTCAGCACTTGGTATTTGTTGATAGCACTCTGACAGGTGTGAGGTGATACCTCATTGTAGTTTTGATTTGAATTTCCCTGATGATTAGTGATGTTTAGCATCTTTTCATGTCTGTTGGCCATCTGTATGTCCTCTTTGGAGAAACGTCTATTCCAGTCCTCTACCCATTTTTAAAATTGGATTGTTTGTTTTTTGGTGTTCAGTTGTATGAGTTCCTTATATATTTTGGATATTAACCCCTTGTTGGTGTATCATTTGTGAATGTCTTCTCCCATTTAGTAGGTTGTCTTTTTTTTTCCCCTAGAATGAAAAACCAGCTTTAGTAGGTTGTAGAAAAGGAGTTCAAAGATAAGGAGATTTATTCAGTCCAACCCATAACATTCAAAAAAGTAAATAGGATTTCAAGATCATTTTATTCTTCCAATTTTTATTTTTTATTTTTGAAACATCTTTCTTTTTCAAAGTATTACATATGTCCCCTTTTTTACTCCATTGACCTCTTCTAGCCCACCCCCGAGCTCCACCCCAGGCCTTCACCACCCTATTGTCTGTGTGCATGAGTTATTGATATATTCATGCAAGTTCTTTGGTTGATCTTTTCCCACCCACCCTCCCCCACCTTCCCTCTGAAGTTTAACAGTCTGTTCCATGCTTCTATGTCTCTGGATCTATTTTGTTCATCAATTTCTTTTGTTTATTAGATTCCACATGAGTGAGATCATGTGCTGTTTATCTTTATGACTGTCCTATTTCACTTAGCATAATACTCTTCAAGTCCATCCATGCTGTTGCAAATGGTGTCTTTTCATTTTGTTGATGGTTTTCTTCACTCTACAAAGCTTTAGTTTAATGTAGTTTCATTTGTTTATTGTTTATTTTTTGTTTCCCTTGCCCAAGGAGACATATCCAAAAAGATATTGCTAAGAGCGATGTTGAAGAGTTTACTGCCCATGTTTTCTTCTCGGAGTTTTATGATATTAGGTGTTACATTTAAGTCTTTAATCCATTCTGAGTTTATTTTTGTGTAAGGTATAAGAAAATGGTCCAATTAAATTTTTATCATGTATCCAGTTTGTGTTACATTTATTATTGCATGTTCTTTACCCCATTGCATGTTCTTGCCTCCTTTGTCATAGATAAATTGACCATATAAGTGAGAATTTTCTATTCTCTGGGCTCTGTATTCTATTCCATATATCTATATGTCTGTTTTTATGCCAGTACCATATTGTTTTGATTGTAATAAATGAGCAAGGTACAGCCTTCCATTTATTTGTGTCTTCTTCAGTTCTTCCGTGTCTTATACTTTTCAAAGTATAAGTTTTTCACCTCTGTGGTTAAAGTTATTCCTAGGTATTTTATGCTTTTTGATGCAGTTGTAAATAGAATTGTTTTCCTAAATTCTCCTTCTGATAGGTCATTATTGATATATAAAAACACAATATATTTCTGTATATTGATTCTGTATCCTGCAATTTTACTGAATTCATTCATTAGGTCTAATAGGGTATTATGGTTTTTTAGGGGGAAGGGAGGTCTTTAGGGTTTTGGTTGCTTTTGATGTCATTATTTAAGAAACCATTTTCAAATCCAAGGTCATGAAGTTTTGCCCCTATGATTTCTTATAAGAGTTTTTAGGTTTGGATTTTAAATTTTTGTGATCCATTTTGAGTTAATAATGTGCTATGCAGTAAGGGTTTAATTTCATTATTTTATATGCCCAGTGTCTTGGCACATTTGTTAAAGAGATTGTTCTTTCCCCCAATGAAAGGTTGTCACCTTTGTTGAAATCAATCGACTATATAAATAGGAGTTTATTTCTGGGCTCAGTTCTATTCCATTGATCTATTTGTCTACCTTTCTGCTAGTACTTCACTGTTTTGATTACTGTAGCCTTTGTAGTACATTTTGAAATTGGAAAATGTGAGTCTTCCAACTTTGTTTTTCTTTTACAAGATTGTTTTGGCTACTCAGTATCCCTTGTGTTTCCACATGGATTTTATTATCTCTTTTCCATTTCTGTAAAAAAAGCTTTGAGAATTTGATAGTGGTTACATTGAATCTATAGATCACTTTGGGAATGTTGCCATTTTATGTGAATCTGATTTAAATGCATGTTAACCCAGCTCACTTGTTTTTGGAACTAGAACCTAGATAAGAACCATGGGCATTTTATGAGTTTTTAATCTATCTATGCCTATTTTTATTTTACATTGCAGGAAAGTTAAAGGAGGAAATATTGATGTACATCCATCAGAAAAAGCACTCATTGTTCAATATGAAGTGGAAGCTACCATTCTTGGAGAAATGGGGGATCCCATGTTGGGAGAACGAAAAGAATGCCAAAAAATGTAAGCTTTCTTTCTTTGTGTACATTTTGAAAGTAGTGAACCTTATACAAACTTTGTAGAAATCTGATATTATTTAAATCTGCATAGATGATAAATCTTTATGGCATTCTTCTAGACATACTTCATTTTAGTGAAGCAGAGACAACATTAAACTATAGATGCAGATATATTTAGAGAAAATCATGTCTATGTACATAATGGGAACCTACTAAAAAATACCTATTCTGATTTATTCCATTTAGTAAATGCATATAATAGAATATAAGCTACAACTTCTGAAACCAATTTTAAGATATGTTTATGTGGGACTTTTTAGCTTAATTTAGGAAATTTGTATTTTCGGAGATCCTGTGTTCTTCCTTCTTCCCTGGAATTGCTGAAAGTAGTATGACTTCCAAAATTTCCAAATGGGGCATGCACCTTGAATTCATCCCTTAAAAATCTAGCCCTCTAGAAGATCCTAATAAAACAAGCATTTTCTGATTCAACGAAATTGAGCTTAAATCTTCCAATATCCTACACCCTTTTCTTTCTGCATTTGTAATTCTTTGAGGACCTCCTGGGGAACTGGCCTCTTTCACCAGTCTGCAGTTGTGCTGGTAATGATCTTGAATTCCTTCCATAGTTTTGTGGAAGTAAAAAAGGTCTGAGATTACCTACTTTTCTCTCCCAGTCTTCTTCCCTCCATAAAAAATTTGATTTGGGAAGTAGTTAAAAAGAATTTTAGTGTGTTTTGGTGGTATTAAGTGTATTCAAACTGCTAGGAGTGCATGTGATAGTATTTATAACACTGAAAAGCACTGCATTTTTTCTGTATAGCAGTGGTTCTCAACTGGTTCTGATCCACCCCCCCCCAACCCTCTCACCCCCGTTCCCGAGGTGACATTTGGCAATACCTGAAGACATTTGGGTTGTCATAACTAGAGGGGTGCTAAGGGAATTTAATGGCTAGAATGCAGGGTGCTGCTAAGGATCCTATAATGCACAAAATAGCAACCTACAAAGAACTATTTGGCCCAAAATTTTGATAGTGCTGTAATTGGGAAAGTTTGGTGTATAACAGCCAAAAGAGTAGCTGCCTAGTCTATTAATATTCCTAATTTGTCTTCTTGGGTTAGAAGGAGACTAAATCACACACTGAATTAATTAAAAATAACTGAGTCTTTGGATAATCTGCTAGATTGAAGAGATACACACTTGCATACACACATACACTGTAAATCCTAACTCACATGCTCCCACGTTTTTCTGTTTTCTTACACCTTTTCTCTTCCATTTGTGTGCCTGTGATTGCTGCCTGAGTTTTGTACATTGTGCAGAATCCTTTGAGATCTTATTAATTTGCCATAGACAAGTGAGCAGAGCAGAGTTTCTGCCTTTAGAACCTCCTACATCTGCATTTCATGAGAGAAATTTAGATTTTTAGTTCTCGAGAATGCAGTCAGTAACCTTATCTACACTAATAAAAGCAAAACATGCAAATTGGTGTCACTCCACTACACCCACCAGCCAATCAGGATGAGTATGCAAATTAACCCAACAGAGATGGCAGTTAATTTGCCTATTCAGGCGAGGAGCAAAGACTGAAGACGACTGAAAACTGAAGAGGCTTGGCTTCTCTGCTGCAGTCGTAGCGGAGAAGCCTCTAGGATTGGCTTCTCCGCTGCAGCCAGAGCTAAGGCCTGGGTCCTGGGTCCCGGGTGCCAGAGGAAAACCGGTGCCAGCAGCCAGGGTAAGGAAGGCCTATTGCACGAATCTCTTCATGCATCGGACCTCTAGTTCAACTATAATTAAATGAGAATGTTGTGTTTGAAAATCCAAAGTTTTTCTAGACAAGAGATGCATTCACTAGGGAGTCAGCCAGCTGGAAAGAATACTACCTACTGTTGTTGGAGTAAGTGAATTTAAACATCCTTAATGGGAAAACCCAAGGACCTCAATTTTGGAATACTCCACCCTGGTGCACACAATTTGGAGAGGAATCATGTTGTAGGACCAAAAGCAGAATGTGGTCTGTTGATAACTTAAGAGTTTTTATCAATGGCAACAGCTGGGGTGGAGGGGCACTCATAAAGATTGAGATAGGTATGAAGTGAAAATGTCATTAAATTTGGGTAGTCAGTGCTATGGCCCAGGTCAAGAAGACTTATATTTCAATCTTCTTTATTTGGCAAAGGAGAGTATAAGCCTATCTTTAATAGAGTCCCAGTTTCTGAAAATTTCTTTATGAGAAACTGATGGTTATAGTCCAAAAATAATATGGGTATTTTTCTTGTGAGTTTTTGGTATTATTAATAGATATGGCTGCCTATGAAGATTCTTGTTTTTTATTATAGGAATAATCAGTAAACATATAGGTAACATTTTCTAAAAATTCTACCCCTATCTATTTTTTTCTTTGTCTTTTGTAATAAGGAAAGGATTTAGGAGAGACCTATACACTAAAAGAAGAAAACCTGTCTATTACTTTTAATGGAAAGAAGATGAATCAAATTGCTAATATATGTGTTGGTAAAAAAAAATAGATCTAAAAAGAAATAGAAAAATCTGCTTTATTAGATCAAGATACCACTGTACAACTATTAGAATGGGTAAAATCCAAAACACTGACAGACCAAATGCTGGTGAGGATGTAAAGCAATAGGAACTCATTCGTTGCTGGTAGAAGTATAAAGTGGTACTTTGGAAGACAATTTGGCAGTTTCTTATAAAGCTAAACATAAACTTACCATATGATCCAGCAGTTTTGCTCCTAGATATTAACCCACATGAGTTTGAAATTTATGTCTACAAAAACCTGCACATGAATGTGTATAACAGTTTTATTTATAATTGTCAACAGTTGGAGGCAACTAACATGTTTTTCAATTGACAAACAGGTAAGCAAACACTGGTGTGTCCATACAATCAAGTATTATTCAGCACTAAAAGGAAACCGACTATCAAGTTATGAACAGACATGGGGGGATTTAAATGCATATTACTAAGTAAAAGAAGTCAGGCTTGAAAAGCTACATTCTGTATGATTCCAACTACATAACATTTTAGAAAAGGAAAAACTAAAGTAAAAAAATCGAGTTTATCCGGGTTTCACGGGGCGGGAGAGGAAAGAATAGGTGGAGCATGGAGCATGTTTAGGGCAATAAAGCTATGCTCTATGATACTATAATGGTGGACACAGGATGCATTTCTCAAAGCCCATAGAACTATACAACACAGTAAATCCTAATGTAAACTGTAGACCTAAATTGATAATGTATCAATATCAGTTCATCAGTTGTAACAAAGGTGGTAATAACAGAAAAAAAACAAAACTGTATTGGGGTGGTAGTGGGTGCATATATGGGAACTCTGAACTTCATGCACAATTTTTCTGTAAACCTGAAACTGCTCTAAAAAACAACTAGTAAGAAATTTTAAAAACATACGTTTATAGTGTTTCTATTGTGCCTCAGCTTTATCGGATTTCTAGAAACAATCAAGATTTCGAAGTCCCTGATAAAATTAAACATGAAGAGGTCTTTTGAGAGTTTTTCTCTGAATGGACTCTCCTTTCTATCTCTGTCTTCTGGTGTGCAGTAAAATTATACAAAAATAGAATCAAGCATTTAAAAGGTAGGAATATAAACAACCCAAAATTTTAAAATAAAGGAACAGAGTACTGGCTAGGGTTCTTGTTGCAAACATTAGAAACCATTGTAGCAAATTTAAATATAAAAGGAATTTATTAAAAGCTATTAGGTAGTTTGTAGAATCCCAAGAGGACCAGACTTAGGGATGACTATATAGCTGTGAGTAATTTCTAAATCACTCTACTGGACTTATTTCTAGAGAGATCATCTTCACCTGAATGATGATTGCACAGATGCTTAGTACAGAACCTTTTTCTGAGATTTCTGTCCCTGCTGCCTTCTAACACCTTGATGTCTCTCCAAATGTCAGCGGTCTTTACCAAGAAATAATTCTATATAATGGCTACTTTCTTATGTTTCTCTTTTTTAAAAAATATATTTTATTGATTTTTCTACAGAGAGGAAGGGAGAGAGACAGAGAGTTAGGAAACATCAATGAGAGGGAAACATCAATCAGCTGCCTCCTGCACACCCCCTACTGGGGAGGTGCCCGCAACCAAGGTACATGCCCTTGACCGGAATCGAACCTGGGACCCTTCAGTCTGCAGGCCGACGCTCTATCCACTGAGCCAAACCGGTCAGGGCTGTTTCTCTTTTCTAATCTGAGCCTTGCGCGAACATATCTGCTGGAGTCTTCACCCTGCACCTAATTTTATGTTTTCATAAGTCTCCTTGGTGCCATAAATTCATGTAAACGGGCAATTGTTTCCAGACTCTGAATAACCTTTTTTATTTATCTTCCAATGAATCTCCTGGACTAAATTAAAAAGGAGACAAAAGCTGGTTTATTTATTTTTATTAACATACTAACAAGTATAAAATGTTCGTCAGAATTCCTCATATAGGTCTTAAAGTGCATCGTGCTTTTTTTCTTCTTCCTTCTACTATATAATTTCCATGAGAAAAACTGAGTCAGAAATAACCAATATTATGTCTTGTTCCTAACTGAAAAACATAAATGATTTCGTGACTATGGTCAGAAAGTGATTCACTCCTGGTAATATGGATTCTCACATCCAATGACTAAAAACTTTATATGTATTACATCAGAAGATTGTTTTAAAATTGGGTCTTCCAATATGCTCTTCTGCCAGGAAAGGCTGATGTAGGCTTTATGTTCCTTTTGTTATCTCATTTATCCAGCTCAAAGAAAATCATTGTTTTGCATTGTTTTAAGCCTAATTATACCTAACACTTCGTTATATGAGAGTCTTTAAGTGTTTTATAAGTTATTTAATGAAATATTATTTAAGTTACCACTTACTTTAATGATACTTGAATTGGAAAATTCTGATATGCTTGCAGCATTCGTCTTAAGAGTCTCAATGCCAACACAGATATAACTTCCCTGGCACGGAAGGTGGTTGAAGAATGTAAACTCATTCATCCCTCAAAACTAAATGAGGTAGAGCAGCTGTTGTACTATCTCCAGAACCGCCGAGATTCCTTGTCAGGAAAGGGTAAGTAGGAACTTCTGACTTTTTAATGCAAACTGAACTTGTTTGACTGTAGTTTGAGCTTACGCTCTATGTGGGGGTTTTTTGTTTTGTTTTGTGTTTTGTTTTGCCAGTGCTGTGAATAAGTAAACAAAAGAATAGACAAACATATTCGTTTTATATGTGTTGAGCTTTATATTAGGCTAGAGACCCGGTGCACGGCATTCGTTCACTGTTGGGGAGGGGGACGTTCCTCAGCCTGGTCTGTGCCCTCTCGCAGTCCGGGACCCCTCGCTCCTTACCACGTGCCTGCAGTGGAGGCAGGAGAGGCTCTTGCCACTGCCACTGCCCTCACCAGCCATGAGCCCAGTTCCTGGCTGAGTTGCACCCCGCCTGTGGGAGCACACTGACCACCAGTGGGCAGCTCCTGCATTGAACATCTGCCCCTGGTGGTCAGTGTGCATCATAGCAAATGGTCCTTCCACCGTTTGGTTGATTTGCATATTAGGGTTTTATTATATAGGACGGTTCTACACAAAATGATGTTTCTATTTCATACTGTGTGTTTCATACTGATGTTTCTATTTCATACTTATTTCCACACAAATGCTGAAATAAGAAATAAAAAGCAGATATCTGTCATATTGACTCTAGAAAAACAATAGGAGAGAATTAGGGGCAGAAAACCTATTTTCTCTACTCCAACTACATTTATGTTTTCTAAATTTCTCATTGACATTTAGTTTATTATTTGAATGGGTGACTTAATTACTTAAATGTTAAATATATGTCATATGCATTAGACTATCCTAATGTTATGTTTTATGAATCTTTCTTAGGAAAATACTTCCTTTTCATTCCTCAATGTCTCTGTTAACATGCTTCTATTTTCAGTCCCTCAACAAGAACTAAGCCATTAAAATATTAGAACTAAGTGACTGATTATTTATAGAAGGCATTTTCAAATAATCTAAACCAAAAATGAAACAAAATAAAAATACAAACATTTTAATGCAAAATCATCTCAGATTATTGAATGGTTAGTTATTTCATTTCATAGTATTACATTTACATATCTTCCATCATGGGTAAGTTCCAAAATATGATGCCCTTGAAATAACTTATAAAGGCTTAAGTTTTGATTATACTAAGTAAAACAAATGAAATAGAAAATTTGTTTAAACCTTTTCAAGTTCGTCTTGTCTCTCTATGAACAGGAAATAAACTGCCTTGTACCTAATGTATACTTTTATTAGTTAGCCCTAAATAGAGTTACTAACTCACATTGTATAATCACTAGGTATTTGTTGAGTGAATTGGATGCCTATGAACTTATTTAAAAGCAAAATTAAGCTTAGCTAATCAGCTGCTGAGAATAAAAATTACTCAGAAATGCTAAAAACCTAGGTCTTCTCATTTTAAAAAACCACAACTTTTTTTTAACAGAAAAAAAAGAAAAAACAAGCAAACCTAAAGATCCACCTCCTTTTGAAGGAATGGAGGTAAGACTACACTCTGATCTAACAGAAATATGATTGTAAGGTGTTGCCTTTTACCATCAGTAATTCATACAATCAACATTAAACATATGTATTATTTTTAAAAAGTGATTGAACTTAGAAGTGCCTGAAGAAGGTAGGAAGTCAGTATTTAATTGATAAAGGCAAAATTATTGGGTATGTTTTTTAGACAATTTATTTTGATAGAAAAATAAGTTGTGAAGTGTTTTAAATATTTTTATTGCAATATGTTTTGAAATATTATTTATTATAGTGATACAAATTACTTTGTATTATATTTAAAATATTTTATAATTGATAGACCAAGTTTAGAGCTTACATACATCCCATTTTATCGTATGGTTTATAATTACTTTTGTATTGAAGTCCTAGCACCCAAAGGTCTAATTTCCCCCTCTATGAGTCCTTTGAAAAACTTATCTATTATTATAAAAGGCAACACATATTGATAATAAAATATCATTCCTTTGACAGTGGCTCTGTTAAGCATTATTATTATTTTGGAATACTTTCTTCTTCTTCCTTTGTTTCAGATTGATGAAGTTGCTAACATTAATGATATGGATGAATACATTGAGTTATTGTATGAAGATATACCTGACAAGGTTCGGGGTTCTGCTTTGATCCTGCAACTTGCTCGAAATCCTGATAACTTAGAAGAACTACTATTAAATGGTAACCTATAGTTATAAATATTAAAATTAGAAAAATTATTGTAAATATGATTTTTAAATTATATTAGAGAATTAAGTTAAAATTATTTATGCTAAACTTAAAAATATACTTTTTCCAGCTCTTTATTACCTTTCTTCTTCAAATATTTAACATGAGAGCATAACATCTAAATGTTCTCTGGAAAATTCATCAATCATTTAATAAGGGAAATCAAGCATTATTGGTACTGTATCTTTTCTTCTAATTTGGAATACTTTTTAAAAATATATATTTTTCTTGATTTCAGAGAGGAAGGGAGAGAGAAGGAGAGAGAGAGAGAGAGAGAGAGAGAGAGAGCAGGCACTCATAAGTTTATATTATTAAGGAATTACTGTAAAGTTCTTGTAGGAGAGGTATTAGTGTGCTTATTTAGGTTTTTTTATTGATTTTGAGAGAGAGAGAGGGAGGGAGGGAGAGGGAGAGAAACATCAATGATAAGAGAGAATCATTGATTGGCTGTCTCCTACACACTTCCTACTACTGGGCATCAAAGCCACAACCCAAGCATGTGCCATCACTGGGAATTGAGCTGTGACTGACCTCCCTGTTCATAGATCGACACTCAACCATGGATCCACACCAGCCAGGCTGGAACACTTTTTTATTTTTTCAATTAGGAGACAATATGAAGCTTTTGACATTTGTATACGTGTCAGCCTGAAGGACTTCCTTTAGTATTTGTCATAGGGGAGTTCTACTATCTTAAGTTTTTGTTTTCCTTCGTGTTTGAAGGATAGTTTTGCTGGATAGAGAATTGTTGGTTGATTGTCTTTCTTTTAACATTTTGAATATGTCATGCCTCTGCTTTCATGTCTCCATGGTTTCTGATGTGAAATCTGTTAATTTTATTGAGGATCCTATGTACATGTTGAATTGTTTTTCTCTTTCTGCTTTCAACATTTTCTTTGTCTTTGGCTATTGCCAGTTTGACTATGATGTGTTAAAGTGTTGATATCTTTGAATTTATCTTACTTAGAATTTGTGGATTTTCTTGGATGTGCAGATTAATGTTTTTCAGCAAACTTGGGAAGTTGTTAACCATTATTTGTTAAATATTCATTTTTCTCTTTTGTCTTCTCTCCTCTTGGAACTCCCATTTTGCTTATGTTAGTATGCTTATAGATGTTCCCCAGGTCTTTGAGACTCTGTTTATTTATTTTTCATTTTTTTCTTTCTGTTCCTGAAACTAGATAATCTTAATTGACCAGCCTTTACATTTGTTCATTCTTTCTTTTTCTAGCTTATATCTGCTGTTAATATTATTAATGAATTTTCATTTCAGATATTGTAATTTGCAATTGCAGAATTTCCACTTGGCTCATTTTTAAATAATGTGTATCTCTTTATGATATTTTTTGTTTGTTGAGACATCATTCTCCTACCTTCTCATACTTTTCTTTACTTCTTTAAGTTCTTTTAGTTCTTTTTTTAAAAGATATATTTTTATTGATTTCAGAGAAGGGAGAGGGAGAGAGAGAGATCAATGATGAGAGAGAATCATTGATTGGCTGTCTCCTGCACACCCCCAACTGGGGATGGAGCCCACAACCCGGGCATGTGCCCTGACCAGGAGCCCAACCATGACCTCCAGATTTATAGGTCGCTGCTCAACCACTGAGCCACGCCGGCCGGGCCAGTTCTTTTAGTTCTTTGAATATATTTACAATAGATGATTTTCAGTCTCTGTCTCCTAAATTCAACATCTGAGCTTCCTCATGGACAGTTTCTGTTGACTCTGTATTTCCTGATTATGAGATATCCTATCCTGTTTCTTTGCATATCTTTCTATTTTTTATTGTTGTTTTGAAATAATTTTGTGGAAACTCTGAAAATCTGATTCCCACTCCCTCCAGGGCCTGTTATTTTTGCTGTTCATTTGTTTAATGAGTTTCCTGGATTATTTCTGTAAAGTCTATATTTGTGCAGCCACTGAATCCTCTGCTCAGTTAGTTTAGTAGTAGCTGATGATTGTATAGAGATTTCCTTAAATGCCTGGCACTACGTGTCCCAACCTTTGCTGAGGGAGCTCTGTGTGTGTGTGTGTGTGTGTGTGTGTGTGTGTGTGGAGGAGGGAGGCTTGTCTTCAGTGCTCAAGCTGGTAGTTAAGAGCCTTATCTTCACTTCCTGCTTGCACATTGCCTGAAGGCAGCTGTTCTCAACCTGTGGGTCGCGACCCCTTTGGCGGTCGAACGACCCTTTCACAGGGGTCGCCTAAGACCATCCTGCATATCAGATATTTACATGACGATCCATAACAGTAGCAACATTACAGTTATGAAGTAGCAAGGAAAATAATTTTATGGTTGGGTCATAACATGAGGAACTGTATTTAAAGGCCAGAAGGTTGAGAACCACTGCCTTAAGATTTTCCAGAGATGAGAGTTTAGGTCCTTCTCTGGTCTTTCTCTGGCATGTGCATATCCCTGCACATAGAATCCTGGGAATGTGTTGGAGCTTTTCAAAGACCCTGTGAATATCTTTTTCCAGTTATTCCTCTTAAAGATTTAGGTCAGCCTCTTGTTAACTCCAACTGGCAAGGCTGCTGCACATTACTGCCACATCTCAACAAGTAGTTTTCAACAAATGCCCTGGGTGTAAGGCTGCATGGAGCAAGCTCTGAGTCAGGACAAGTACAGAAAACCCTGGGAATGGAGCTTTTCAGCAAGCATCCAGGTGGATTAGAGAGTGACAGTTCTTTGAGGAGGGATTTGGGAAGCAAGCACCAAACTGTTCTGCCTCCTCCAGTTGCTGTTAGGCTGCTGTTTTTCGCAGATACCATAGTTGTGATTTCCTTTTATGTGTTGTACATTTTCGTAGGTATTATTTTGAGATCACTTTAGTATATTCTTTAAAAAATTATAATGGCATTTTAATTTTGCCTTCTGTAAACTCTTTAATTTTCTTTGGGCTATTTCTTGATAACTCATGTATAATTCTTGTAGCTGTAATTTCATTGAGATATTTCTCTGTTCTATACTAAAAGAGAAAAATGAAATAAAATTTGCAAAGTGGGTCACTAAACCTTTGCCTAAATCATGGTATTATAGTATATCACTTCCAAAGTATATTCTATGATATCCTATTTCCTCTGGATTCTAGTGATGAAATGTCCAGATAGTAGGACTTTTTGGAGCTTTTGCTCTTAATATACATTGCCTGTCTAATTACTTAATTCTAGAATGATGTTGGAGACCAGTATATATTATACTAGTATGTGCTCTGCATTGTGAATATGAAAAACATGAAATGCCATTATATGATTTTTTAGTTTGTTAAAAAAAATTCTTTCAAAGTGGATTAATATCATAGTGAATTCTTATTGTTTCATAATCTGAATAGCCTGGAAGCTCAAATAAATTGAACACTTCCATTACAATGATAAATACTGATAATGCAGTCCATGGAGTATAATAGATCCTGGGTGCCAAAGAAAGTTAAATAATAAATTATATATAATACACAGATATTCTATTTAATATTTTTTAAGAATTGGTAGGCCATATAGCAACACTAATTTGAAAATAGTCTCATTACTTTATGTTTACTTAATATGTGGTAATTCTCATTAATTAATTCATTAATTTCACCTTTCTCATGATAAAAATCTAGCATGGATATTTATTAAACTTCCCTGAAGCTAATTTTGCGAAAAATTTTTGTTTTATTTATGTCTATTGGCATCAATTTAACATGATATTAAAATATTAGGCTTATTATTTTGTGTATAACTTTTATTTGGTTATTAATTTGCTTTAATGGATCTAGTGTTAGCCTGCTAAACTGCTCATTATTTTTTTTAGAATTGTTCTAGTTTTTTTTACTTATTCACAAACACCTTAAATCACGTTAAAAAAGAAAAAAAGATACTACTGTAGCAAGTGGAAATTCAACTCAAGAAATAAGTAGTCTTATTATTTTATTGTCACCCAAAATATATTTATATTACTTTATCTAAATCATATTTTATTTTTCTGTATACAGGAATAGACTTAAAGTTGCATGTTATGAGTTTTTAAGTAAAAGTTGGATTTCAGTTTTAAAAATAGGTTTCTGTGTTGGAAAGAAGCATCCTACTTTGTTGTCCCATTTCTATCTTAGCTTTGTTATTTATTTATAAGCAGACATTTAAAACCAATCACCCTTTGTACTAGAGGCAAGACGAAAGATTATATTTGCATGTCCCATTTTTATCTAGAAACTGCCCTTGGTGCATTAGCAAGAGTCCTGAGAGAAGACTGGAAGCAAAGTGTTGAGTTAGCCACAAATATAATTTACATCTTTTTCTGTTTTTCCAGGTAAGTATTAAAATTAGGTAATAAAAGCAATAGTCTATCTGTATTTCTCCTTGTGTATGACATTGGTTTAGATTGTAGATCATTGGTTCGTTTAGTCCTCTGTGTGTCTGCTCATACTCTGTTCTGAACTCTTATTCTGTTTTCTATCCTCTGCCCTCTCCGTTGTTCTGTTTTAATTTAGTCTGTACTCACCCAAGCATGTACATGTGTGCATGCGCATGAGTGTGTGCACACCTTCCCATTCATGCACCCACCGTTTAAGAGTATGAACTCTTGACGTAGACTGACTGGATTTGAATTTAAGTCCTGCTATTTATTAGCGGTTTGATCTTGGCTCTATTACTTAACTTCTCTGTGTCGTGGTTTCCTCATCTGTAAGCTGTGGATAGTAATAGTAGCACCTTTTAGGTAGCTTTTAGAATAAAGCCTGACCCAGACTAAGTGCAGTAAATGTTATTGTTTACATACACACCTGTGATGTATTCACATGTATTATTTTACACATATATTCTTTAGAAAGATGTTTTTTGAGACATTGTAAAAAATCTCTAGCTAATTTCTAAAGAATTGCCTTTCTCTAGTCTAAAAATGTGTCTAGAATTAGCAAATAAATATTTACTGAATAAGTACTTGGATCATGAATTGAGCTCGGCGTGTCAGCATTTTGAAAAACCCTAACTTAACTCTGGTGCCGTGTCACATAGAGAAATTTTTTGATATTTGCAACCATAGTAAAACGAAGACTTATATTTTTTATATTTATTTTATATATTTAAATGCCATTTAACAAAGAAAAATCAACCAAAAAAATGAGTTCGCGTGTCACCTCTGACACGCATGTCATAGGTTTGCCATCACTGGTCTAGGAAAGATGCAAAAAACACGATTACTAATGATTTTTTTAAATTTTTTTATTGATTTTAGAGAAAGGCGGGGGGGGGATATTGATTTGTTGTTCCACTTATTTATGCACTTATTGGTTGATTTTTGTACGGGCACTGACCAAGGATTAAAACCGTAATCTTGACATATCAGGTTGATGCTGTAACCAGCTGAGCTACTGGCCAGGACATGATTGCTAATACTTTACTAGTTTATTCTTTGGTATTAGTTTTATTTAATAACAGTATTGTTATAGTATTAGTTTTGTTAGATGATAGTCTGAAGATTTATTTTGAGGGTATCTGAATAGTTTAAATGGTTTTTAATTATAAATGTGTTTTGTTTAATTTCTAACTTAAAAATAATTTCATTTCAGCTAATAGTAATATCTTAAAATATAGTTAGAGGAATCTCAGAATTTCAAGTTTTTTTAGTAAGCTCTATATTTATTTATTGATATGTGTATATCAAATTTATTTTCTGTGTTGTTTGTACCAGTGTTTACCCTAAACAATTTCCTGAACCCACAAAATGTATTACTTTAAACACATACTAAAATCTCTTCTTTGAAGCTTTTCTCAGTTTCATGGACTTATCACTCACTATAAAATTGGAGCTTTGTGTATGAATATCATTGATCATGAATTAAAAAGACATGAGCTTTGGCAAGAAGAACTTTCTAAGAAGAAGAAAGCTGATATCCTTTTAGAGTGGCATTTCACCCCACTATTGTTGCCTATTGCTATGAGCTTTGGATGAATGGGATTTTTTTCTCTCCATTCACAGTATATGAAAAATGCAAGAGTATTTTAAAGGTTAAGATGAAGCTTGAAACTGTCAGAATGAATATAGTTTGACATATACTTTTTTATCTCATCTAACTTTGATTAGTTGATGAGATAGAGGGACTTAAATTAGTGGTCTGGATACTGAATTGGTGAATCTCTAAGTAGGTACACGTATGTCTCCTAAGATCCTTTGGTTAGCAGAAGTCTGGCTCACCACTGTTTCCTATGCTGTTCTTCCTTTGTGATTTTTATTGGAATGGGTGTGGATTTGGTGATTAACCTAGCTTTAAATTATATTTTTCTAATTAAGCACAATAATTCCTTTCTTAGTATATACAAATTTGAGATGCCTGCAGAATGATAGAACTTATTAAAAGAACCTTAAAAATTATCTATTTTAACCTATCTTTCAATAGAGTCTTTTCTGCAACTTCCCTTACAAATGGGTTGTTTAGTCTCTTCTTTAACAATGTCACTGCTTAATGATTTAGCTTATTTTGTGATGTGGTATTCTATTTATTATAATGTTCTTTGCTTCTGCACTAAAGTCTACTCCTCAATAACTTCTGTCCCTGGGTTGTAATCTTGCATACTGAAGCAATATAGAATAGGATATTTTTTTCAACATCACATTTCTTATATGTGAGGATATTTATCATATTCTCTCTACAACTAATTCTTCTAGATTGAGGTCCTGATTTATTCATGTCTATCCTTATATGACTTCTTTTGCAGATCAACAACCCATTCTGGCGGCTTTTTTTTTCAACCCAAAATTTATTGATTTCTTTTAAAAAGTTAAAATATTATTCCTGTTGTGCAGAGTGTCATATGTTTCTTATGTCCCTATCATGGAATCCCCAAGACACTATAAAAATGCACCCTCACACACATATAAGCTTTGATTTTACTTAATTAGGATCTTTCAACATTTAGAAATTTTCTGTGTGTGCTATAAACTTCTGACATCTAGATAAATATTGCCTTAAACCACATGGACAACTCAAAAATCCTGAATATTTTAGATTATTTCTGGAGTCCCAAGTCTCCTGAATGCACCCAAAATTTATTTAAACTGGAGGGATGCGAAGAGGACCACTAATGGGACCATTAAGTTATGCATTTTGATGGGTGATAAGAACCAATATTTTAGGACTTATTATATTTCTATAAGTATCAGATACCATTGGTTGTAAGATGTACCATTATTTACAAATAACCCATGAAGAAAAAAAATGCTTCCAATTAAACTATGGCACATCATCATGGATTATAAGACACCTCCAAAATTCTGGAGATATTACCATGTAGGCAAATGTGTTTTAGAATCACTGGATTACAATAATTGAAGGAATATAAAATGACCTATCAGAATTCTGGCCATTTCTCCTAAAATATTGCTATTTTATTAAGTTTTAAGTTTTTGATGCAAGTAGCATTCAATAGGGAATTGTTTTTAAGTGCTTGGGGATTTGAAGTCTGACTAAAGTAACTATTTTCTGCAGGTGTCCAGGGAACTGTTTGGGGGGCCATAAGATGTGATTTTTTAAAAAATATTTTTTATTGATTTTAGAGAGAGGAAGGGAGAGGAATAGAGAGATAGAAACATTGATGAGAAACATCGATCAGCTGCCTCCTGCACGCCCCTCACCAGAAATTGAGCCCTCAGCTAGGGCACAGGAATCGAACTGTGACCTCGTTCACAGGCTGATATTCAACCACTGAGCAACACCAACTGGGCCATAGATGTAATTTTTAAATTTCGTTTACCTTTAACTTTGGTATATTTCTTTTTTTTTTTAACCTTTAATTGAAGTGCTTTTATTTTTTATATTTCTTTTTTGACATCTCTTCTGAAGAGAGTGCTAAAAAGTTTAAACCTAATAGACTTTCTTTGACTATCCTGGGCATCTGTCTCAAGTAGAATCTAGTAGTCTTATTAACAAAATTACTTTTAAGGCAGTAATCATTTTGGTACATGACCCACTTGCTAATCTGTTGAAAGTTAGAGACTTCTGTACATACATAAAATATTTGCTTATGATTTCTGGGGATTCAAGTATTTGGTGAAGCCCAAAAATGCACTCGAAGCACATCCTTGAACCCTTGGTTAAGAAGTCCTGTTATGACATAATTATTATGCAGAGAATACTATTTTAGTTAAACTATTAGAGAAAATAACTGGATAATATTGCACATACAGTTTAATAGCGCTGTTCTTCATAGTGTTTTTCAGTAGGGTTTCTTCTTTGCTTCAATGAATATGGAAGATCCTTAACTTGTTTACTTGATGAAGACCCTGAAAACCAAACTTTGAGAAAAGAGTATGAAAAAACCTTTAAAAAATACCAGGGGCTTGTGGTAAAACAGGAACAGCTCTTACGAGGTACGAATTCTTAAACACTAAGAAATACAGCAAAATGCTTACATTGCATTTAGTTTGTTCCATTTTTTGTCAGATTGGTAAAGGTAATAGAATCATTGAGAGTTTTATACATTTTAATATGCTACAAATTTTGTGTCTTTAGCATGGGTAATAATGTTTTAAATTTTACTCTACTATTTTCCAACAAAAAACCCACTCAGTTTTTACTTGTTATTTACTTGTGTAGATACTTGTTATTTATTTACTCAGAGATGACGTTTAATCCATTTTGTAACCTTTTCATTAATAAGAATCTTGTCTTTCAATCCCTAATAAACTTAGTGAATTATTTTGTTGCTTTCATAGAAGATTGATATAAAAAATTTTGTAACATTTCTCTTTAATGAAATAGAGTCTTCTTTGGGGTTATTGAGAGATTTACATGTTCACTAGTATGGTTTCTCATTCATAAGATACAAAGTGAGAATGATCTGGGGCTTTCAAGTGTATAATCAATTTCTGCTTTGTAGCTGACTATTGAGGTACAATCCTATCTAATAATAGACAAACATGGTAATTGACCGTACCTTTGCTATGCCTCCCACTGGCTAATCAGCGAGATATGCAAATTAACCGCCAACAAAGATGGTGGTTAATTTGCATACGTAGGCGCAAAGCAGCAGAGCGACGGCTTGAAGGCGGCTCCAGCTGGAGCAGCAAAGACCTGGATACCAGATGCAGGAGGAAAACCGGTGCCGACAGCCAGGGGAAGGGAAGGCCTATTGCACGAATCTTTTCGTGCAGCAGGCCTCTAGTTGACATATAATAGTGTAATTTGATTCATGTATATATTGCAAAATGTTTATCACTATAAGTTTAATTAACACATCCTTTACCGCAAGTAATTACGATTTTGTTGTTATTGTTATAGTGATAACATTTAAGTTCTCTCATAGCAACCTTCAACTATACAATACAATAATATTAACTCTTGTCATCATGCTGTACATTAAATCCCTAGAATTTATTCATCTTATAACTGAAAATTTGCACCATCTGACTAATGTCTTCCCATCTGCCCCCCCGCCCCAACTCAGCTCCTGGTAACCATCAGTCTACTCTCTATTTCTATGAATTCAGTTATTGTACATTCTACATATAAGCGAGAACTTACGGTATTTGTCTTTCTCTGTCTGTCTTATTTCATGTAGCATAATGCCCTCAAAGTCCATCTATGTTGTCACAAATGGCAGATATCCTTCTTTCTTTATAGATAAATAATGCTCCATATATATATGATGGTTACCAGAGGGGAAGGGGGAATGGGGGAGAGATAGTAAAGAGTAAAGGGGGCCCTATCCAGTTTGGCTCAGTGGATAGAGTGTTGGCCTGCACCATGAAAAGTCCCGGGTTTGATTCTGGTCAAGGGCACATGCCTGGGTTGCAGGCTCGATCCCCAGTGGGGGGCATGCAGGAGGCAACCAATCAGTGATTCTTATCATTGATGTTTCTATCTCTCTCTCCCTCTCCCTTCTCCTCTGAAATCAATAAATATATTTAAAAAAAAGATTAAAGGGGGGTCAAATATATGGTGACGGAAGGAGATTTGACTTTGGTGGTAAACACACAATGAAACATACAGATGATGTATTATAGAACTGTATACTTGAAACCTATATAATTTTATTAACCAATGTCACCCTAATATAATTAAAAAATAAAACAAATGATAATATATTAGATATAAACCCAAATATATCAGTTATTATATTGCATGTAAGTGGACTAAATACAATTTGGATGCCACTTCAAGAAAAAAAATGGGTTACTATTTATATATCAACTAGTACAGTGCCTGGCATACAGCAAGTACATAATTATTGTGAATTACCTTTCCAACTCAAATGTTTGTTAAATAAATTTAATGTTTATGTATATATTTCAATATATTTCATACTTATACATAAATTTTTTTCTATTCATAAAGGTTTAGAGATGGTTTATAAGAATACATGAAATTAAATACTAAAAACAGGATAAAATCAAGGCCATAGGAGAGCCAAAAGATCATATTGACCATAATAGCCTACATAATTCTGGCAGAAAGTGTTCAAGTCTTAACTCTGAAGCTTTCTGTTCATCAAGGCAAAATGTAAAACATTATCTGTTACATAATTCTCACTGTCAAAAGAGAACAATTATGAGTTATGACAACCTAGTCACTTTTATAACAGATATTTAAAAGAAATTTTACTTAGAACTAGTAGACAGTAACCTCAACTTTGCCTAGTATAACAATCATATTAATGAATTTCATACACATTATTTCCTGTAGTGACTGTCAGAAAATCAGTTTGAAAATGAAAAAGGTTTTAGAATCCTTAGATTCAGCTTAGTTGTACAATACATTTTGGATTATAGCTCTTTTTAACATAGCAGCCCCTAGTTGTTGAAGTTTTAACTTGTTTTCTACATGTAGAAAATTATTTTTTCCCCACCTACCTATTTTATTATTTGCTAACATATTTCTTTAATTTCCATTTGATTACCGTTAAGTGCTAAGCTCCAAGAGGGTATGAATCATTGTCTTTTATGGTTATTGTGTCCTTCATAGATCATAAGAATGTTATTTTTTATATACATATGTTTTATATAACATAGCATTTAATAATAACAATAAATGTTTTCTAATGAATAAATTAATAACTAGTTAAAATTTTCAAAATAATATATTCTCTTCTAAGAACTACGTCTGTTACTTTAGTGAGTAGGAATGATTTATTAACTTACTGATTCAATATGCCAATCTCATCTATTTTACTTTTCTAGTTGCTCTTTATTTGCTTCTGAATCTTGCTGAGGATACGCGCACAGAACTAAAGATGAGGAATAAGAACATAGTTCACATGCTGGTGAAGGCTCTTGATCGGGACAATTTTGAGCTGCTTATTCTAGTTGTGTCATTCTTGAAGAAACTCAGCATTTTTATGGAGAACAAAAATGATATGGTAACTTACATTGAAACAGTCCATATTTGCCATTTTCAAGTTAGAATATTTTGATAAAAAGTAAACACATTATCCCGCTACTGAGACAATGCTGAATGAAAATTTAATAATAACAATAACTCCCTTAAATAGCTTTATTGGGAAATACATTTCAGATTACTTAATACTCCAGATAATTGAAGCTTATAGAAAAATATAAAAATCTTTTTCCAATATTATATAGAATGAATGTTTTCATATTAAACAGTATATATAGAAAGTAATTTAAACTTAAGATTGTGCTTCAGAGTTATCCCCCCTTATATTATTTTCCCTTAAAGTATTTTTTTCTCCTGCATTTCAGATATTGTGTGTGGAATTTCAATTTAGCCCAATCTCTTCTGTCTCACTTACTGTTCCAGTTGGGAGGCATAAGCTATTGATTCTGTTCCTTAATATCCCTTCTTTCTATTCCAAGTGCTATTGTACCAGTTCATGCCCTCTTTCTTTATACCCTCTTCATTTCTTGTTTGAATTATTGCAGTGGTCTTTGAGGCATACAAATTAATTGTATATTATTTCTCCTTCTGAAAATATGCATTGTACAGAAATATATAAAGATAGAATAAAAATTACCTGCCTTTGCTATGTTATTTAAAAGTCCTTGTTAGAACAATGTTACATTAAAAATAGTTCAGACATTAACCTTACCTTGATTTCCAATATTTAAGTTTATAATTTTAGCTATTATAAATAACACTTCAGTGGGCACATTTGTACCTGTGTCTTTGTCCATATTTCTGATTATTTTCTTATGATATAGTCCTAAAAATGGAATTATTGGTTCATTGGTCTGAACTCTATTGAGAATCATTTTAGAACTATATGCTAATATAAGTCATTATGTTACTATGTATTATTGGTATAAATGAATTCTTCTTCAGATAGCCTAAATATACAATATTTCTTCCTACTCTTTTTTTCTTCTTTTAAAACAAATGAACTAGGAAGTAGCTTATGTTTATCAAATGACACATCTCTTTGAAAACCTGACTGATTTATCAAATTTAATAAGTGCCTTCAATTCTGATACTTGAAATATAAGAAATTTTATTTTACCCACAGATGTTTAGTATCTGTCATCTTTATCAGTATTAATTATTAATAATCACTGTATGCCTGATATTGCTTTAAGACTGAATTTACTTAAGAGAAATTAATCAAAAACATTTTTAAACTTATTAACCTTATATTTAAGAAGAATATGATGGCATGGTGATGTGTATACTCCTGAGGAATTTGAATGTGGTAAATAGTTGCTTTCCGTTGCTCTAAATTGAAGTATAGTCTTCCATATATGTATTTAGATTAAGTTCACAAAATTTAAATTGATTTATCATCAGTGTGTATCTAGTTTTTGTTGATTAAATTAATATTTATATGTTTATTCAATCAAAAATTACCTCAAGAATAATATTAAAATTATTTTCTGGTAAGATCATAGATTCAGAATATAAATGGTCTCATCAAACCTCATTTTTTATTAAAGAGGAAAAACAAGGTTTAGGAAAGGTAATCCATGCATAAGAATGATTAGCCAGATTTTTGCTGTAGGTGGTATGCATGTCATCTTTTATTGTGGAAGAAGTGCATTTTATTTAAGGGCATTGTTTCACATCAGGATTTTTAGAGCTTGACGGGACCTTACCTCCATGTTTAGATTTAGTGAATTACCTCCTAATTTTGCAGATGAAATAGCAGAGGATTGGAGAGGTTAAGTAATTTGCTCAAAGATCTCCAGGTCATGTTTCCTACTCTTTCTCTCTGCCTTTAAGGTAAAAATTTTTTGTATTTTATGTTGTTGTTTTTTAAAAAACTTTTTGGCAAGCTTAAGTATAAGCAATTTTTAAATAGCTGCCAGAAACACTAAAAAGAATTACTTAAAGGCTGAAAGAAATTTTCTGAGTGTTGATAAGCTGACACTTTACATAGAACATTTAATAAAACAATTACCGTACGTTCCATTTTATAGATATATAATTAAGGGGGCATTTCATGTTGAGACAGTTACTAAATTTAGCTTTAGGGATTGAGCTTTTATAAACCTGAAAGACATGATTAGAAGGCTGTGTCTAGTTTAACTATCTGGTTGGACTACCTGGCAATTTTACATTCCATTTTCTGCAATGGAAATACAAATTAATTTTTTTAAAAAACTCTCCAGGTTACATTATTATTAAGTTTTCTATAACACCAGTGTGTAGTGTTGCTTTTTCAAAAGAACAATATTACTTAATATAATTAGTAACAGATGAAGCCTGTGGCAATTTTATTTAAAAGGGGTGGTGGGAGGGATGGCTGATCTATTTGTGAGGTTGTATTATTTATTTAAATAACGTATTTATTTTAGTGTTGATGTGAACTAATACTGACCTTGCTTTTTAGAGTTATATATTTTAAAGGAAATATTTTAATTAATAATTTAAATTGAGATTTTATATTTTAATACAGTATAACAGCCCTAGCCAGTTTGGCTCAGTGGATAGAGAGTCAGCCTGTGGACTGAAGGGTCCCAGGTTCGATTCCAGTCAAGGGCATGTACCTTGGTTGCAGGCACATCCCCAGTGGAGGGTGTGCAGGAGGCAGTTGATCGATGTTTCTCTCTCATCGATGTTTCTAACTCTCTATCCCTCTTCCTTCCTCTCTGTAAAAAATCAATAAAATATATATTTTTAAAAAATACAGTATAACAAGAAGGTAATAAGTCATATTAGAATACGATTTTAAGAGTAACAACAGAGAGGATATATATTCCTTGGATTGCTTTTTTTCTTATTAAATTGTGAGGGGTTTTTTGTCATATTTTGAATATGTCTTTTATCAATAGTTATGTTTTGCAGATATTTTCTCCTAGTTTCTGTGACTTGTTTTTTCATTCTTCTATGATAAGCAGAAGGTGGGTTTAGTTTTGTCTTTTTGTTTTTATTGATTTCAGAGAGGAAGGGGGAGGGAGAGAGAGCTAAAAACATCAATAATGCCGAAACCGGTTTGACTCAGTGGATAGAGCGTCAGCCTGCGGACTGAAGGGTCCCGGGTTCAATTCCAGTCAAGGGCATGTACCTGGGTTGCAGGCACATCCCCAGTGGGGGGTGTGCAGGAGGCAGCTGATCGATGTTTCTCTCTCATCGATGTTTCTGACTTTCTATCTCTCTCCCTTCCTCTCTGTGAAAAATCAATAAAATATATTTTAAAAAAAACAAACATCAATAATGAGAGAGAATCATTGATCAGCTGTCTCTTGCATGCCCTCCACTGGGGATTGAGCCCGCAACCCAGGCATGTGCCCCAACTGGGAAGTGAACCGTGACCTCCTGGTTCATAGGTGAACACTCAACCACTTGAGCCACACAGGCTGGGTGAGAGCAGAAGGTTTTAATTGTTATAAAGTCCAGTTTTTAAAGAATTTTGTAATGGTTGGTATTTTGGTGTTGTAGTTAAGAAATCTTTGCCTAACTTAGGTCACAAAGATATCTTCCTACTTTCTCTTCAAGTAGGCTTTGTGTTGTTGCTCTTTTGTTTATTAGTCGGTGATCCCTCCATCCTTAGTTAATGTTGTATATGGTTCAAGGTATGCATCAAGATTCATGTTTTGAAATGGATATCCAATTGTTCCAGTACCATTTGTTGAAAAGACTATTCTTTCTCCACTGAATTGCCTTTACACCATATTAAAATTGCCTTTGTACCTTTGTTGAAAATCAATCGGCTATATATGTGTGGTTCTATTTTTGAACTCTCTTTTTTCTATTCCATTTACCATGTGTCTGTGTTCTGACCAATACATCTTTGTCTCGACTATTGTAGCTTTATAGTAAGTTTTGAAATTAGGTAGTACATGGCTTCAAATGTTGTTATTCTTTTTTTTTTAATTATCCTGGCTATTTCATATTCTTTACCTTTTTCATGCCCATTTAGAATCATACCCAATCTATTTCTTTAAAAAAAATCTTAGAATCTTGATTGGGATTGCATTGAATCTATTGTTAATAATAATATATATTCAATATATTAGCCACATTGGATTTTCCAATCCATGAACATGGTATAGCTCTCCATTTGTTTAGGTCTGTCTTGATTTCTTCCATTATTTCAGTTTTAGCACACACAAAAAATGTAGTTTAAAAATTGTAGTTTTTCTAAAAGAAATTAGTTTTCCATTGTTGATCTGTTATTGAAGTATAATTAATATATCCTATTAGTTTCTTTGTACATCATAGAAATTTGATATTTATGTATGTTACAAAATGATCACTGCAGTAAGTCTAGTTACCATCTGTTGTGATTGATAGTATATAGAAATATAGTTGATTTTTGTATATTTGTGCCCTGTGACTTTGCTAAATTCACTTTTTAGTTGTAGGTACTCTTTGTATGTTCTTGGGTTTTTCTAAGTAGAAAATTGTGTTCTCTGTAAATAGAAAGTTTTTCTTGTTCCATTCTAATTTGCATGCCTTTTTGTTTTCCTATGCTACTAGAGAGGGGCTCTTTAATATGATGTTAAAACGGAATTCTGTGAATGGGCTTTCCTGCCTGGTTACTAATCTTAGGAGGAAAGCAATGTTTTTTACTATTAAGTATAATGTTATCTAGGTTTTTCGTAGATAATCAGTTTAAATTCTGTTCTGTTCCTAGTTTATTGAGACTCAACTATGAATGAATGTTGGATTTTGTCAGATGCCTTTCCTGCATTGGTTGAAATGATACTAGTTTTTCTTCTTGAGACTGTTGATACAGGGATTTGTATTGATAGATTTTCACATGTTGAGCTGGTCACATTCACGGGATAAACACCACTTGATCATGATGTATTTTTTATACATTACTATATTTTGTTAGGTAATATATTGTGGAGGATTTTTGTATCTATGTTTATGAGGGATTTCTAGTTTATGGTGTTGTACTTAAAAAGTCTTTGCCTAACTTAGGTCACAAAAATATCTTATGCCATGGGCTGGTTTTGCTATTACGATAAATGTGGCCTCATAGAATGAATTGGGAAGCATTTTCTCTCCAATTTTTCTGCAAGGGTTTTGTGTAGAGTTGGCATTATTTATACTTGAATGTTTAATACACTTCACCAGTGAAAAAGTTATTTGGGCCTGGAGTTTTCTTTCTTTAAAATTCTTTAATACCTATAAGACTATTTACGTTATCTATTTCTTTTTGAGTGGTAATGTTGTAGTTTGTGTTTTTCAAGGAATTTATGCATTTCATCTATGCTATCAAATGTATGAGTACAGAATTCTAGGTTGATATATACCTCAGATAATATCAGTTCGTCTTGAAGATTATTTTTCCTCTGAGAAGCCTTCTTTGACAACAACTTACACTGAGATGATCTCAGGTTCAGTCTCACAGTACTCTTTTTTTTTTTCTTGTATATAATAGTTATACAATTACAATTAAATAATTGTATAGTTGTTGTTGTGGGGTTTTTTTTGCTGTATTTCACACCCTCTGGTGTATAAAATCCATGAAGTCAGGAACTATTTCTTTCCTGTTCTTATATATGCATACATATATATCCAGGGCTTATTTAAGAAATATTTGTTGAATGAATAAAGAAATAAATCTGGAAAAGAATTTATTTACTGTAATCAATGAAGCTAGTGACAGAGCCACAGTTTTGTATAAATGTGACAAGTATTTGTCACTGGCCTCTGTGGAAATTGTTTTTGGCAGTTAACAAATGAATGATTGACCCACCCTCTTTAACAGACTAAACTAGGAAAAAGAGAGACCCTAATTAGTGAGTCTTTGGAGTTGGATTTGTACTTTGTAATGAAGAGCTCTCAGATATAACAGCAGTGAGACCATGGAGAGTAGATAGAGTTCTGAAGGCAAAATTGTTTGGTCAATTTAGCATTTTAAAAATTTTAGGTTACTTCCTGGGATGAAATGAAAGGGGAAAAGTATATCTAAGGCTCAATTATTAATGTGGCATTTACAAGGTCAGTGAACAATTGCAATAAAGATATGGAAAAGGTGGTATAAATAAATGATTGCTTTATACCTCTACTAAAAGAAAAAGTGCAGCAAGATTTTTCATAAACATTTTGGTAATGATAAAAAATTATGTAGTTATATAGTTATATGCTCTCATTTTTAGCCATTTCTTTGTAATAAAGATATGAGATATTTTTATAAACAAATTTTTCTGATTGCTACCTTAAGAAATGTGAATACAGGACTTACATTACCAAATAAGGTCTGTCCTCTGTGATTTCACACTCTAAAACAAGCTCTCTTGATGCAATTTTATAATCTTCTAGGGTTGGGAGGTTAATAAACCTTTTCTGTAAATGACCAAGTAGTCAGTATTTTAGGCTTGCAGTTCATACAGCCTCTCTCCATAACTACTCAGTCCTACTGGTGGAGCATGATAGCAGGCATGGGTGGTCTATAAACAAACTAGAGACTCAGTGCACGAATTCGGGTCCCTCGGCCTGTCCTGCAGGATCAGGCCGAAACCAGCTCTCCGACATCCCTCAAGAGGTCCCGGATTGTGAGAGGGCGCAGGTCAGGCCAAGGGACCCCACCAGTGCACGATCAGGGCCTGGGAGGGACACGAGAGGTTGGCCAGCTGGGGAGGGACCGCAGGAGGGCTCCAGGCTGTGTCTGGCCCATCTCGCTCAGTCCCGATCAGCCGGACCGGCAGCAAGCTAACCTATCAGCTGGAGCGTCTGCCTCCTGGTGGTCAGTGCACATCATAGCGAGTGGTTGAGTGGCCTTGGCATATCATTAGCATATTACACTTTGATTGGTTGAACAGACCAATAATAAAAGCATATTAGGCTTTTATTATATAGGATGAGCATGGCTGTTTTCCCATAAAACTTTATTTATGGAAACTGCAATATTTGAATTTCAAATAATTTTTATGTGTCAAGAAATACTCTTAATTTTTTCAACCATTTAAAAAGTTAAAAGTCGAAAATCAGCTTTAGCTCTTGGGTTTTATTAAATGACCTGTCGGGCCAAATTAGACACACTAGCCATGGTTTTCTGACCCTTGTCCTAAGGTTCAAATATTACTCATAAACCAGGCTCTCTCCTGAATTTTACAAGATTTCCCAAGATCCACTGAATAGTCACCTAAAATTAAATATGACAAAAATTAAAATAATTTTGCTCTTCTTGTCATATGCCTGTTTTTCAACTTATAAAGCTTAGTTAGTGGCACCTACATCCTCTTTATTGACCATGTGGAAAAGGGGCCTGAGACTGCTCTTATATAGGCCCTCTCACAAGGTTGGCCATCACTGATGTCTAGGAACTTGGATTGATGGAGTGTTTTCCCTGTTTCCTAACGCATAAGGCTGGTTTACTGTGCCTAAATTGTTTGCTCAAGCAATGTGGTTTATGCTGAAACCTGCTTTCCTTTTGGGAGTCTGGAATTTTAGTCTGAGCTAGGTAGAAGGTACTTATGTGACTTGCCCCCAGTAAAAATCTTGGGCACCAAATCTCAGTCTCACTGCAACACTGGAGCACATCCTGTATTCGTCTGTGGGGAAAGGATTTTAGGAAGCTTACACCTGATTTTATCTGGACTTTGCCTCCATGGGCCTTTTTTCTTTTCTAATTTTACTTTGCGTCCTTTCATTGTAATGAATCACAGTCATAAATGTGACTATATGCTGAGTCTTGTGAGTCCTCCTAGCAAATCACCGAACACATTGAACCAAGCCAGAAACCTGAAAGTCATCTTCAGCGCCTCTTCTTCATTGCTCATTCATGTGATTTGACTATTTCTCTTAAATACCTCTCAAATGAGTCTTTCCTCTTCAATCTTTATGTTCTTTCTTTGATTCAAACCCTAATCACAAGGCAATATATTCTTCAGCACTTACCTTCAATCTCTACCTATACAGTGTACCATAAGCATTTGTTTGTATCTTTGTGTGTGTGTGTTTTGTGTGTGTGTGTGTGTGTGTGTGTGTGTGTGTGTACTGATATGTTCGTTTGTATATTACTTAGTCTGACCATATCACCCTCTGAACCAAAAACCATTCTGGGCACTTTACTGCCTATAGGACAATTTAAACCTCTTAACAGAGCATTAAAAGCTTTTTGTGATCTGTCCAGTGTCTGTCCTGGGCACCTGCCACTCTCCAGCATATACTTTGTATTATAGTCATCCAAAGCACAGCCATCTCTAACAAGCTTTTATGCCTTAGTGCCTGACCACGGGCTTTCTCTTCTCTTAACCAGAGAGCAAATTATTGCACATTTTAAAGAACTTTGTTTCTAATTTGAAGTCTTTTCTGTTCTTCTAGGTAGCTTAATGCTTCCTTCCATATTGCTTCCAGAGCACTTTATGCATTCCATTTCATCACATTGTATTTAATTATTTGTTCCATTTCTCTGTTCTCTTTCTAGACTGCAAGCCTTGAAGGCCAGGACTAGATCTTGTTTGCTCTAGCACAGGGCTGGCACTTAGTAGGTGGCAACCCATGTATTTTCAAGAAACTGGTGTAATTTGTCCTCTAGTTGATGCTATTATGTAAAGGAAGGAAGGGATGATGTGGCAATGTATATTTTCGCCTCAAAAGTTTGCTTTCATAAAAATCAGAAATAATACATGCACCTCTATGTTCACATCAGTGCAATTTGCAATAGCTAAAATCTCGAAATAGCCCAAGTGCCCATCAGTAGATGAGAGGATGAAAAAAGCTCGAGTACATTTACACCATGGGATACTATGCAGCAGTAAAAAAAAAAAAAAAAGGATATCCCTCTTTGAGACAGCATGGAGGGACCTGGAGAGTATTATGCAAAGTGAAATAAGCCAATTAGAGAAAGACAAGTATCATATGATCTCACTCATGTGGAATCTAAAGAACAAAATAAACTGATGAACATAATAGATCCAGAGACATAGAAGCATGGAACAGAGGAAAGGTGGTGGTGGATGGGTGGGAAGAGATTAACCAAATAACGTGTATGCTGATATGCATAACCCACGGCACAAGCAATAGTGTGGTGAAGGCCTGGGGTGGGGGGAAGGTAGGGGCCAGAAGGGGTCAATGGGGAATAAAAGAGGACATCTGTAATACTTTCAACAATAAAGATAAAAATAAATAAATTTTTTAAAAGTGTGCTTTTAGAGAAGTTTGTGGATTAAAATGAGTATATAGCTTAACATAATTAGGATACAATGAAAAAATTATAATCTTTTTTTGTCTTATTGTGCAGCAGAACCTCACTGCATTTGTATTATTATTTTACATAGGTGGAAATGGATATTGTTGAAAAACTGGTAAAAATGGTACCTTGTGAGCATGAAGACCTGCTGAATATCACCCTCCGACTTCTATTAAACTTGTCCTTTGACACAGGACTGAGAAATAAGATGGTACAAGTTGGCCTGCTCCCCAAACTCACTGCACTCCTAGGTATGCTTTTTAAAAATTCATGATAGTGTTGCTTGGAATTTCCAACATCATTAGAAAATTGAGCAGTGTGTTGAAAAGTCAGCTGAATATATAATCTTTGGGAACTTAAAAATGAACAATGAATGAAAAATGACACATGCCAGGATTCCTCTGGTGCTGTAGAATGCACTGGAATGTTAACTCTGACTTCATTTACCCATGTGAAAGTGAAATCAATGTGCAACTACACACGGAAGCAAAAAGGAAAATTATTTTCTCTTCATTTTTTTTAAAAGCAGGTATCATTTAAGTTCTTGTATGCTGCCATACTTTTAAAATTCTCCTGATAACTACACAAATTTGGTGAGCCTTTTTGTCATTAAGTAAAAAAAGGGCATTTTTATATAGTGTGAGTTAAAAAATATTGTATGGGAGGATTCAGTTGATGATACATTTTTCCCTTTAGCTGTTAGAAAGAGATCTACATAGCAAGGATGGATTCAGGTGCTAACACTTCTGTGTTTTTACATAATGCTTCTTAGCAGAGTATTATTCACCCTTGATCTTGGTCTGTTCCGTGTCTGTCTTTACAGGCAACTACTACTTCCCAGCACATGCTGTATTCTGTGTCCTTGCTGAGCCCTCAGAGTTCCCTAAACAAGCTCTTTTATGCCTATGTGCCTGTTCATCTGCTTCTCTCTTCTACCAGGGATGCCACTGCCTTTACTAATCAGAAAGCTAATTCTCACTTGTCTTTTAAGACTGTTCCTTTGTTTCAGTACTAAAGTTTCATTCTTGTTTCGTAGTGTTCTCCATAGAGTCAAATATTTTGTAATTGTTTCCAATAGTAGTGGGATAGTAGTGGAATGATTTAAAAATACGTTTATTCTTTGCTATTTAATATCTCTTAATGCGATCTCTTGTTGACATCATCATTATTTTCTTTGTAATACTATTAACATTTATTGAACATTTACTGTGCCAGTCATTTAGTTCTGTGCTTTAATTACATTATCTCATGGAATTCATGTCTGAGATCTGTACTCAGGATTACATAGCTGATAAAAAGCAGAGCTCAGATTCCAACTCAGGGCTACCTGCTGCCAAAGTTGGCTTTATTAACTACTATTGTAAACTACTATGTATAGTGATATTAAATGGGCTATGATTAAATAGACCAGGGGTCCTCAAACTATGGCCCGCGGGCCACATGCAAATACAAATATTGTATTTGTTCCCGTTTTGTTTTTTTACTTCAAAATAAGATATGTGCAGTGTGCATAGGAATTTGTTCATAGTTTTTTTTTAAACTATAGTCCGGCCCTCCAACGGTCTGAGGGACAGTGAACTGGCCCCCTGTTTAAAAAGTTTGAGGACCCCTGAAATAGACTATGCAGAGCTATAATTTAAAAATCAAGTTCTCCAAGTCTGCTTTAAAAAAAAAAAAAGTTGTTTTGGAGTAGTTGTTTTTTGTTTTGGTTTTTTTATAATCCTCACCTGAGGAATGAGAATATATTTTCCATTGATTCTTCAGAGTAGAAGGGAGATGTAAGAGGAGAGAGAAAGAGAGAGACACACACACATTGAATGGTTGCCTCCAACACACACCTTGACCAGGGCCAGGGATTGCACCTTTGACCGGGAATCAAACCTGAGACCTTCCAGTGTACGGGCCAATTCTCTAACCACTGAACATACCAGCCAGGGCTTAAAAATAAGTTTAACTTATTTCTTGCTCTTTTCTCAGAATAGGAGACTTTTAATCTATTAGTCAATCCAAAAATATTTGGATAATTGGTAAATCCACAAATACTGCACAGGACTTTTATTACACATTTAAGAAGTTCATGTTGAGGAGTACTTTCAAGATTTGCTTTTGGGGAACCAATACAAACATTAGTGAAGAAACAGAAAAACTTTAAAAGTAAAATTTATGGCCCGGCTAGTGTTGCTCAGTGGTTGAGCATTGGCCCATGAACCAGGAGGTCACAATTCAATTCCCAGTCAGGGTACAACCCAGGTTGAGGGTTCAATCCCCAGAAGGTGGCTGGCATACAGGAGGCAGCCAATCAATGATTCTCTCTCATCATTGATGTTTCTCTCTCTCTCTTCCTCTCTTAAATCAATAAAAAATATATATTTTTGAAGTAAAATTGATGGGTCTTGCATTTAATGATGTGACCCTCCGTTTATCATAATCTAGCAGAATTATATATCAAATGTTAGGTCAGATTCTCAGTGTATGAAGATGAATAAATTGTAGTCCTTATCCTGAAAGAATTCATAATCTCTTTGGTTTGTTCAATATTCAGTCACCTACCTTTATGAAACATGATTTTAAAGAAATTTTTGGGAAATTACAGAATACTCATTTCATATCTTATTAACAAGTATCCCTCTATTTTATTTCTCACTAGTCAGTGAATTTAACTTAAGCAGTTTCTTTATTTTTCAAATATTCATATATCTTTTGCATTGATTCAGGTTTGCAATTCTGGAGATAATTTATTATACAAGGCTACAGATGTTACTGTGCTCAAGTATTTCCCCTTGTTGAATGGCCCCTGAATGCCATGTATTTTAATTTTTATATGCAGTTTTCCTGTTTCCCCTCTTGTCCTTGGCTGTCACTTCTCATTTCTTCTGCACTAGCAGCAATTTCATAGCAGCAATTTTCCTCTCCTCTAAAAATATAGTTCTAATCTCCTGTGGTCTTGGAAACCAACAGCTGAACTTATTTGAAGTGTATACTTTGTTAAAAATGAATTCCAAATGAATGCCCGAAGGGTTCTCTTCCTAATAATGTTCTCTTCCTAGTGATGTTTATTGCATGGACTTTGCAACATTTCTTTTGACTGTGAAGAAACCCATTTTGCTTGATTGTGCTCTCTGCTATGTTCAAAGAAATATTATTCAGTGTATAAATGATTTTCTGATAAGTAATTATTAGGATGGTCATTTTTACATTTGTCAATGTAACTGTTACTTGTGTGGAAAATTAAATCATTAACTCCTAACACAATAAACTAAGCCTCTCAATTGAGTAATGATATGTTTAATATGTCTAATCTTTTACCATTACAATTATATAGATGTTGTAGTCAGGAAGCATTATAGAGAACAGATTTTAAAGGAATAGGAAATAATTCATCTAGAGCAGAGACTTTCAAACATCTTTTATCCCAGTCTGTAGTAAGATACATTTTACATTACACCTGAATACTCACTCACATGTGTATGTGATGTGATGTGTATATGTATGTGCATATATCCATATGTGTATATTAATATACGTATTTTAATTATCCATATTATATATTTTAATTATTTATATTATATATTTAGTTTAACAATGTAATTTTTAAGTGTTCACAAAGACATATTTACCATTTCTATGTGTAATGCTCTATATTTTCTGTTTTTTAATTCTACTTATGACTTACTCATTGATTTTATGTTCTCTGATTGATTTTTATGTTCAGTTGAAAAACATTGAACTAAGGGAGTGATTAGACTTCTTTCCCTTTAAATCTTCGGAACTATCACTGTCTCTGCTGGACTTTTAATGTGTTGATCAGTTGATAATCTAAATTGTTCCAGGTTATTCTTTGACAAATACTTGGAGTGATTACATGGGAATGAATTTTTTTTTTTGAAGTGGAAAAAAACCTTCTGTAAATCAAATAGTTAAAGAATTCAGGCTGCATTTTCTTCACTGTAGTCATGGAGAAGGAATTAAAGAGCAGGCAGTAGAACATGAGTGGCCATTTATTTCATTAGAAATAAATGCATTGTTTAACATATGTTCATGTTGACAGGTGACTGAATTAAAGATTTACCCATTTTATATATAGAAATTACTTATTTTTTTTAAAGATGCAAAAAACACAAAAACACTGTTGTAGGGCTATATATGTGGTAGAGCTTGTCACAAGTGACTTTTAAGGGATGCTGTTTCAACTGGAAATGCTATCAGATTTTAAGTAGGATTTTTAGTATTATTTGGGGACCCCATAACTGAAAAATCTTTTTATACTTAATAATAGATTACTTTAACTAGAGTACAATGAATCATGAATCTTTCAGGTTCCAATAAAGCTGTGCTGTGTGAACATTTAATCTCCTTCTCTTGTATCCTGAAACATTTAACTAGTACATTGCGACCCCTGCTGTTGTGAGAATTGCTGAATAACTGAAAAAAAATATATATGTAATGGAGGAAGGTTTTGAGATCTGAATAATTATTACAGGCAAAGGAGAATTGGTTATGGCTTAGCTCTTTTGCCGTGTGAGGCTCTGAGTGAACAATAATTCAATATTGCCAAAATTTATTTTAATATCATATAAAGCATTTCATTTAAGAATTTTTATTCCTTTGACATCAGGGACACAAAGAGAAATAAGTTTTAGAAATTATTATGTAAATTTTTCTTTCTCAGACTTAATCTTGAAATTGGTTGATTTGAAGATTTTTTATCTTTTATGAGACATAGAGAATGGTATTCTCTCTTGAAATGTTTCAAAAATTATATTTGAATTTATAGAAAACCTTTATTGAAGTATTCCTTTGTTTTTCTTTTCTTAAATACCACCAAAATTACTCATTTCTTATTTTATTTTTTGATATGTTATTCATAAGGATCCTAAAGTTATCTCTGCCTAGTTCAGTATCGGTTACAAATCTTTTCCGTTCTTTTCATAGTTACTTATACCTAATAACTTTATGATTTCATTTGGAACACCTATCATAGCCAATGGTTTATGTCATAGCAAATGTAATTATATGCAAATTGAATTGGACCTAGAAACCTTGGCTTTAACTTATCCAATTGATAGACAGTTTGTTCAGGTTTTTATGATATTGAATTAACTTCTTTAAAGTGCTTAAAGACTTTTTTGGCTCATCTAAGAATCAGATCATTTAAAAATACATTTTCTTGTCACAAGTCCTAAAGCCATTTGACCTTGATGTATCTCAGGAGTGCTTCCTTATGTCAGAGTATCCTGGGTTGGGAGATGGC